ACACAACTACTCCCTCCTTCCGTCCCATTGTATGTAGCATACTTAGTTTGTCCTAAAAAAAGACACCTTTTATATATTTGGAAAAAAAATTTAATTTTTAATTTCTCATTTTATTTTAATGAGATGATTTATACTATAATATTTATGGCTTATTTTAGACCATAAATTTTAAAAGTCTTTCTTTCCTTCTTAAATTTTGATCATTGTCAAACATTTCCATATAATAGAAAAAAATAAAAATAGCCAGATTTACAACTTGTAATTGAAAAATAGCCATAATTTTAAAATTAGTCGAAATTTAGCCACTTTTTTATGTAGAGATAAAATCTAACAAAAACACCCTTAAAAATCCGGAATTGTTCCAGCATAATATGCTCGAGTTCGAATATTTTACATATGAGCTTCCAGAATAATGTGCTGGAGTTTCATATTGTGCTGGAGTTCCAACATAATATGCGGGAAGTTTATATGCATGAGCTCCATAATCCCATATATTATGCTGGAACTTTCCGTGTGTTAGAGTTCCAACATAATATGCTGGAAGTTTATACGCAGGAGCTCCATAATCCCGCATATTATGCTGGAATTTTTTGTGTTACAGCAGAACAATGGCTATTTTTCAATGATATTACAAACACTGACTATATATTTTTTAATTACCAGTCCGAAAATTGACTGTGCTATTTTCACATCCATATAAAATGGACGCAGGGAGTAAATATATTTACAGCCTACAGGACTTTGCATTCCCATCTTATTAGTGATGTTTAGTTAATTCACTGTATGGTTTAGCCGAATTCACACCAAAAATCACCAACAAGAACGTAAAAGAAATCTTGAACTGCATATAGAAACAAAACAGAGACAAATGACTAGCTAGTTTAGTTTTGTCATGTAAGCATATAACAAAATGGGAGGAAGAAATTTTAGAATTCTAGTTCCAAGCATTCTGTGAATCCTCATGAAGCAATAGGCTTCAATACATACATCTTGCATGCATGGGTCATCACTGTTGTCAAATTCCCTACAAATCTTGTCTCCAATGTCTTATGCTGCATCATTAACGCACGTGTATATATTTATGTATTGTTGTATTGTAGATGTGTAGATGATGCATAGTATAAATAGGGGTAGATACATTGTAGTAAGTAGCTAATTCATTTTCTTCTGTATTTTATTTCATAATTGTACAAAAATACTTTAATTCCTTTTCTAATAAAACTGAGTAGAAATCTTCCAGAAGCTTCATTTCTTATGGCTCCTCTCAACCTCCATTAGAGCTCATCCAAGGTGAGCTGTTCTTCTCCATCTTCTTCATTATTTTGACATGGTATCAGAGCTTGGCTCTTGATTTCATATTCAATCAGTCATTTCTTTCCCCTATTCGAGCATAGTCTCTCGATTTTCTCTCTTTCTGTGCGAACATCGATTTTCACTTCGATTCTTCAATTCGATCCTCGATAATCATGGTTGAAACTGAGAACACGACGGATTCCACGAATGTAGCTCTAGATTCGACTAGTCCGCTGTACATGCATCCCTCTGAGAGTGCTGGATCTGTACTAGTACTGACGATTTTTGACGGATCAGGATATAGATCGTGGAGGAGAGGAGTTCTAAGAGGTCTCTCAGTGAAGAATAAAGTAGGTTTCATAAACGGAAAATGCAAAAAGCCACAACCTCAGGATCCTAAGTATGATCAATGGGAACGCTGTGACGATATGGTCACATCGTGGATCCTAAATTCAATTTCGAAGGATCTGGCAGATAGTTTACAGTACATCAATGATGCTCAGGAACTTTGGAAGGAACTTGAAGACAGGTACGACCAGACGAATGGGGCAAAATTGTACCAATTACAGAGGGAGATAAATGAGCTGAGTCAAGGAACCCTAGATATCACTGGGTACTATACTAAGATGAAGAAACTTTGGGAAGAATTGAACACACTAAATGCACATGCCCAGTGCAAATACAATTGCACATGTGGTGCTAAAGCCAACATGCAGAAAGCAGAACAGGATAGAAGGCTAATCCAATTCCTAATGGGGCTGTACGAAGTCTATACTGTGGTTAGGGGCAGCATTTTGATGATGAATCCGCTGCCCTCACTTGCACAAGCCTTTTCAATCCTCATTCAAGAGGAAAAACAAAGAGAGTTTTTAAACCAAACAATCAACTGGTGATGGAATCCACTGCCTTGAGTGCTAACAGATCAGGAGGAAATCAGTTCAGGACAAATTTTGGTCAGCATACAAATTTTGGAGACAATCCTGGATATGTGAACTTTAATCAGCAAGGTAATAGAGTTGGAAGCAGCAACTACAGAGGAGGACACCTTGGGAATAGGCCACGACCCTTTTGTGATTACTGTAAGAGACAAGGCCACACTAAGGAAAGGTGCTACAAGCTACATGGCTATCCATAGGATCCAAGGCTCAATAAGGGGAAGAGAATTGCTGCTAATGTACATGGAGAACAGGGAGACAGTGTTGTAGAAGGTGCAGATGGAAGCAATGGTGTAGCACATGAACAAGACAGGACTATGCAAGCTCTCACTAAGGAACAGTACAATCAACTAGTGAGCATCCTGGAGAATTTTCATACTGGAAGTGGAGGAAATGAGCTAAAAGGAGGAGCTGTGAACTTTGCAGGTATTTCATCTTGCTCATATGAATGTTCTGATTCATATGAATGTTCTAGATCTATTGCTGACTCTTGGATACTTGATTCTGGGGCATCAAACCATATGACCTATAATAAATCCATGTTAACTAACATAAAGACCTTAGTCTATCCTTTTCTAGTCACTTTACCTAATGGTTATAAGGTGAAGGTTACACTAATGGGAGATGTAGTAATGAGTCCTAAGTTCACTCTGAAGAGAGTCCTCTTTGTCCCTAGTTTCGAGTTCAACCTAATCTCAATTCATTGTCTAACAGTCCAATTCGATTGCTTTGTCATATTCACCAGATTTGTTTGCATCCTTCTGTAGGCCCCTTCACTGAAGAGGCCTCTGGCAATTGGTGAAAGTAAGGATGGTCTATACCTTTACAAAACAGACTCCTGCAAACACAACAATCCAGACTCCTGCAAGCTTAATTCTTTAGTGTCTGATAATTCACATAGTGTATCAAATAAAGGTGATGTAGTCACTCAGTCTTCTTCATCTAGTGTAACCAGTGTTGATAGCACTAGTTCTCATCCTATCTCACATACTATATCTAGCTTACACAACTCTGTTTCACCTTCTTTGATCAATTCACACACTTGTTCACATGAATGTAATAAAGTTGCCACCAGTTCTTATGTGCAATCTAAGGGAAATGCTAATTCTACATGTAATACATCCATGAATGATAAACACATGATTTATCTTTTGTGGCACAATAGATTAGATTGGGACATGTACCCTTTGTCAAAATGAGAGGGATTGAATCTATACCTTTCCATTTCTCATCCAAACAACCCTTTATCTGTCCAATATGTCCAATGGCTAGACAGAGTAGGTTACCTTTCTTAGAAAGAACCACAACAACAACCAAAACATTTGAAATCTTGCACATTGACCTATGGGGGCCTTATCATGTGCCAACACATGACAAGAATAAATATTTCATCACCTTGGTGGATGACTACAGTAGATGTACTTGGACTCATCTGCTTAGTTGTAAGAGCAATGCCTTACAAATAATTAAGGCCTTCTCTGCCATGGTGAAAAATCAATTTAATTGCTCCATTAAGACCATCAGAACAGACAATGGTCTTGAATTTATAAACACTGAAACCACTTCATTCTTACAGTTTGAGGGGATCATACACCAGAAAACATGCCCCTACACTCTTCAATAAAATGGCATAGTGGAGAGAAAACACAAATACCTCTTGGAAACAGCCAGAGCCTTGTTATATCAGTCCAAACTTCCGATGCAGTACTGGGGAGAATGTATACTCACCTCGACCTATTTGATTAACAGACTTCCCTCTACAACTCTCAAAAACAAATGTCCACTGGAACTGATGTACAAAACAAAACCTAAATATTCACATCTTAGAAGTTTTGGATGCCTTTGCTTTCCCACAACCTTAAAGACTCACAAAGACAAATTTGAATCCAGATCCTCACCCCATGTCTTTGTGGGGCCTTTGGGACAAAAGGTTACAAAGTGCTCAATCTAGTCACAAAGAGAATTCATGTTACTAGAGATGTTGTATTTCATGAAAATGTATTTCCTTTTGCTTTGCATTCTAGTTCTAATAGAGTTTTTCCTTCATTCCCCCAAGTAGATGCAGATTTAGCACATGAGTTATTTCCTCCACATGAGTCATCTTTTGTCCCTTCTTCTCCTAGTGTATGTCTCCCAACAGTGTCACCTGATCCTTCACTACCGGGGGTAAGTCAGACTAGTCCTCAAGCAACCTCAAGTTCAGAGGAAAGTTTCACTTTTCCTGATAACTATGACAACCTACCCAATGATATCCCTAACTCATCAACACAAGAACCTGATGAAAATCCAGGAAGACCATCCAGAACCATCAAAACCCCTACCTACTTAAAAGACTACAACTATTCTCTACCCAAGTTGAAAACAAGTGATCCTAACTCTCCTTCTTGTAGAAACCAAAGCACAACCTCACTTTCTTTCAATGCATCTATACCCAATGCCCAATGTATCTCTCTCAATGCATTAAGTTCTGAAAGTCAGCAATTGATCAGACTCATTTCTCATGAGACTGAACCCAGGTCATATGAGGATGCAACTGCTGATCCTGCCTGGCAAGCAGCCATGAATCAGGAATTTGAAGCTCTCTATGCCAATCATACTTGGAGTCTTGTTCCTCTTCCACCAGGTAAGAGAGCAATAGGATGTAAATGGGTTTATAAGGAGAAACACAAGGCAGATGGGAGTATATAGAGACTAAAAGCAAGATTAGTGGTGAAGGGCTATACTCAAGAAGCTGGGGTAGATTATACAGAAACTTTCTCACCAGTAGTTAAAATGACAACTGTTAGGACTTTAATTGGAATAGCAGTAAAGAAGGCCTGGAATATTTTTCAACTAGATGTGAATAATGCTTTCCTTCATGGAGACCTCCATGAGGAGGTTTACATGGAAGTACCTCAAGGTCTAGCTGTTGATAGGTCAAATTTAGTGTGCAAATTGAACAAGTCCTTGTATGGCTTGAAACAAGCAAGTAGGCAATGGTATGAGAAGTTAACTGAAGCTCTCTGTTCCAAAGGATACACACATTCTCTGCTAGATTATTCTCTGTTCTACAAAAAGAATGGAAGTTCAATGGTGTTTGTAGCTGTCTATGTAGATGATGTTCTAGTGACAGGGACTGATTTGAAAGAAATAGGTGCTCTAAAGAGGTATCTACATGAGACCTTCAGAATAAAAGACCTAGGCAGACTACACTATTTTCTGGGTTTAGAAATTCTATACAAAGATAATGGGGTATTAATATCACAAAGAAAGTTCACAATGGATCTACTGTCAGAATTTGATTGTATGAAGTATTCTGCATTAACCTCTCCATTGGATCCCTCAACTAAGCTGAGTGCAAATGAAGGGCCCCTGCTTCCTGATCCCTCACATTTCAGGAAACTAGTGGGCAAGTTGAACTACCTAACCAATACCAGACTTGACATATCATATAGTGTGCAATGTTTGAGTCAGTTTATGCAAAGTCCTAGGGAGCCACACTTGAGAGCTGCTTATCATGTACTGAGATACCTCAAAGGTGATCCAAATTTAGGAATCTTCCTGTATAATAGCAATGATTACATAATTCAAGCATTTTGTGACTCAGACTGGGCAGCCTGCCCTGATTCAAGAAAGTCAGTCAGTGGCTATGTTGTGCTACTAAGGGATGGTCCAATCAGCTGGAAATCAAAGAAACAACAGACCATATCACTATCCTCAGTAGAAGCAGAATATAGAGCTGCTAGACAAGCTGTTGGAGAGTTAGTTTGGCTACTTAGATTGCTTGCAGAGTTGGCAGCTCCCTTGACACTACCTGTTCAAGTCTTTTGTGATAGTCAAGCAGCAATTCACATAGCCAAGAATCCTGTATTCAACGAACGCACCAAACACATAGAGGTGGACTGTCACTTTGTGCGTGATCAAATGCACGAAAGGACCATTACACTGCATCACATTTCCACAAATGATCAACTGGCAGACATCTTCACAAAGCCCCTCACAGGAGTAAAACATTGCAATTTACTTAGCAAGTTGGCTGTGAGTCCCTCCCTTCCAACTTGAGGGAGGGGGGGGGGGGTATTAACGCACGTGTATATATTTATGTATTGTTGTATTGTAGATGTGTAGATGATACATAGTATAAATAGGGGTAGATACATTGTAGTAACTAGCTAATTCATTTTCTTCTGTATTTTGTTTCATAATAGTACAAAAATACTTCAATTCCTTTTCTGATGAAACTGAGTAGAAATCTTCCAGAAGCTTCATTTCTTATGGCTCCTCTCAACCGCCATTAGAGCTCATCCAAGGTGAGCTGTTCTTCTCCATCTTCTTCATTATTTTGACACATCTCAAAATCACAACCATGTTATTTTCTAACAAAAAATATGCAAAAATATTCCTACAATATGTAAAGAGCTAGCAATCAATGAGTGAATAATGGTTATAAATTAAAAGTTCTGCCTTTGTGATTAACTTTGAAATCTTTTATCCTGGAATCTTCCATATATAGGAGAGAGTTAGGAATTTGTAAGTTTGTACATAAATTAAATACATACAGTCAAACCTTTCTCTAACAGCCTCATTTGTTCAGATATTTTTTGGCTGATATAATAAAGTACTATTATAGAAAATATATATTATAACTTAATATACAAACCGGTTCCAAGAAAAATGTGTTATAGTGAATGACTGTTATATAGGGATGTAGAGAGGTGTGACTTAGCTCCCAAAAATCTCTTGCCTCTACAACACTGTTAGGAGGGAAGCCAATGTCTTCCCACAGAGCTATTATTTCTATATTAGTAGAGCCGCGGTTGAGAAGCACTAGACTTACTTTATAGCCTGATAGAGGCCCTGCCCACACCTCGAGTTCGCCTTACATTCTAACCTTTTTGCCCTAGATACCTAATCCATCTGTTTAAATTAATTAAAACGAGTGTGTTAATACCCTTGAAAACTACTCAAAGGATCTAGTTTCACGTATATGTTGAAGACGTAATTAAGTAAATAAAAGTGTGTTATCTCTAACAACTTAATCTTTTAGATGAGATGGTCAAACTCTTTAACATGGTATCAGAACAGGCAGAGGTCCTGAGTTCAAGTCTCACCGCCACCCAATATCAAAATGAATTTCCACGTGCTTGGCTCATCAAAAAGAATCAAGCAAGTACGTGAGGGGGCGTGTTGAAGACATAGTTAAGCGATATGTGGTTTAGTACCTTGGTTCACAGCAATGACCTCTTTGTTGGCAAGTATTTCTTTGGTATCATTTGATAAGTTTCTCACATCACAACCGATGATAAGGGGAGCCTGGAATTAACAACAAAGCTCAAAATGGATCATACATTCTGTCTTGAGAAGCACAAATAGTTCCAATAAAAAGTGAAATATAAATTTGCCCTTTTTTTACCTTTGAAATCGCCCAGAGACTAAAGTGGACAATGTATTCATCCTTTGGAAGTTGAAAGTTCAAAGTTCATTCAAGTTCGAATTGAGGTGCGATTCATCGTTTCGATGTTGTTACTTGTGATTTGAGGCATCGAATGACTTCGTGTATGTTATGAGACTTGTTGCTATGTTCGGACGGAGTTCCGAGGGGCTCGGGTGAGTTTCGGGGTGGTTTTGGACCATTTCTAAGCCATTTTTAGCTGTTGATTTTGGCTACATAGGTGTATATTGCGATAACATGGATTTGGTCGTGATAGCGAAGAGTAAAATAGGAAAAATGGTGCAGTGTTTCGCGATCGCGGAAGATATCCTGCGATCGCATAGAAGAAAATCCCTGTTGCACTGACCTGACTTTGGAAGCTTATAACTTGCAATCTATAAGGAATTTGGAGCTGATTAAAAAATGAAAGTTGTAGCTCTTTATGTCTAATTTTCATAAATCAAACCATTTGTCATTTTGGGTTTTGTACAAAATGTTATGACTAATATACTACAAGGTGTCTGAGAAAAGTTGGAAAGAGTTAAATGGAAGTTTGTTCATCGCGATCGCAGGGAAATGGGCGCAATCACATAGGGAAAAAATTGTCCTACAAAATTTTGTAATCGCGATCGCAAGATTTGTGACTGTGATCGTGAAGGGTACCCCTGGAACACTGTATAAGGTACTCTATTTCGAAGGTTTCAGACATTTTTGCATATTTGGAGCTATGAAGCTCGGATTGAGACGATTTTTGAAGCGATTTTCAGCATATGGATTGAGGTAAGTGTTCTCCACCAATTTTTGATTATATTTCATGAATATATCTTCTTTTTTGGCATTTGATTGATTTCAAAAGAGAAATTGGGGGTTTTAGCCTAAAGTTTCATAGACCGAGTTTTTGAGTTTTGAGAATCGATTCGGAGTCGTATTTGGATGAAACTAGTATAGTTGGACTCGTAATTGAAAGGGTTGTCGGATTTTGTGACGTTTTGTCAGGTTCCGAGGCGCGGGCCCGAATTGGACTTTTTAGCCGATTTTGGGCTTTTGATTAAAGATTCGACCATTATCGATTGTGTTTGCTTCCTTTGGCCTTAGTTGATGTATTTGAGTTGCTTTTGGCTAGTTTCGAGCCGTTCGGAGGTCGGTACGTGCAGGATGATATTTTTGGAGCATCGTTTGGCTTGCTCAATATTGGATTTGACTTGTTCGAGGAAGGTAACACTTCTAAACTTGATGATGAGGGTATGAAACCCCGAATTACGTGTTATGTGTTTGGTGTGGAGGTGATGCGCATGCTAGGTGACCGGTGTGTGGGCGTGCATCGTGTGAATTGTGACTCCGTTATCCCTGTGGAACTGTGTAGTTACCTAATCTTATCTGTAACCATGAATCTCTACATATTAGAGCTATTGATCTGTGACCCATATTAGAAACCATGTCTAGGATACATGCTTCTCCTGTCGGGTCCTACTGAGGTCACTTATCCTATTGATTTATCTGCTTACATTGCATTTACATACTTAGTCATACGCATTCATATTCATATCATATCGCAGTCTCTGTTGCCATTTATTAATACATCACATCATTATTTCTGGGTAGATTTTTCATGATATTGAGAGCCTGAGAGACTGGAGAGATTGATGGCGGAGTGAGGCCGAGGTCCTGATGGTGAGGATGTTTATGGGATCGGGCTGCACGTCGCAACATGTGATTCATGATGGGAGCGGGCTACACGCCGCAGCATGTTTTATTGATTTATGCCATGATTGGCCTGTTATAGCGCTTTGGCTGAAGGAGCGCCTCCGGAGTCTGTATACAATCCCAGTAAGTGCAGGTACTTACAGAGTGCGAGTGCCGAGTGATTGGGAGGACCGAGGGACTTGGAAGACTGAGTGAATTGATACTCTGGGAGTATGCATATGATTTTATCACTGAATTGCATCACATTTGACATGCACACTTGACATACATGCATAAAGATGCATTTTCCTCATGGTATACGGTATCACGTCATTCATGACTTCTCACACATATTGACATATAAGCATAGAGATGTATTTTCCTCATGCCATTTGAAAAATAAAGCACTTACCGTGGAAAGCTTTTGGGAAAAATTACAGTTTTTAAACTTACTCTTATTTTGGCAATTTCGGTAAAAGACTTGGGTTTTCACTGATGTACTTGAAAAGCGAAACTATTTTCGGGAACTATGAATAAATTGAGCTTTTTATCTATGTGTTACTTCTTTTATTACTTGCTTTAAGTTGTTATGAATTGTTGTTGGCTATTGGTGTTGGACCCGACCTTTGTTCCAGCTCGTCACTACTTTCAACCTAAGGTTAGGTTTGTTACTTATTGAGTGCATGGGGTCGGTTGTACTCATACTACACTTGTGCACCTTGCGTGCAGATATTGGTTGCTGACGTTGTTGTGATCGACGGGAGCTGGATTTGAAGATGTACATGCGTTCTGGTTATAGCTGCCTCTTGTTCATGGCAGCTCTAGACTTTTGAAAAATCTGTTTATGTATTATCCAGACAGATGATGTATTTTTATTTTACACCAGCATTGTAAATTCTAATTTTAGAAGCTAATGATTTGTCCTACCACTCCTTGGAAAATATATAAGATTCAGATATTTTCTTTTACTTATTTGTCGTATTAAATGTCATTGGAACTGGATAGAGGTTAATTGGTTTACCTAGCGGGCTGAGTTAGGTGCTATCACGACTAGTTAGATTTTTAGGTCGTGACATTTCACTTCAGACTTATTGGCCTTAAGTGTAGCAAAACATTTGTTGCACTTCAGATATTTTGGCCTTAAGTGCATCTGAAGTGCAATTTTTCACTTTAGACTTATTGGCCTTAAGTGCAGCAAAACGTTTGTTGCACTTTAGACCTTTTGGCCTTAAGTGCATCTGAAGTGTAATTTTTCACTTCAGACTTATTGGCCGTAAGCGCATGAAACCATTCACTTCAGACCTATTTGGCCTTAAGTGCATCTGAAATGTAAATTTTCACTTAAGGCTTATTGATCTTAAGTGAATGAAAACGTTTGTTGCACTTCAGACTTTTTGTCCTTAAGTGCATCTGAAGTGCAATTTTTAACTTCAGACTTATTGGCCTTAAGTGCATCTGAAGTGCAATTTGTTGGTATTATTAATCTTGTTAATGCAAAGCCAAAGACTTCTTTGTGGTCCCTTTCTTTCTTTACTTCTTTGTCTTTTGTGAAAGACAAAGTGTCCCTCATTGCTGGTGGAAAGTCTTTTCCTTCTCTTTATATTGAATTGCTCTTTGTTGGGATGGTAAAAGGGAGTGGTCTCGTGCACATGAGAAATTGGTCCTGAAGGCAAAACGGGTCTATATGCCCCCTGCGCGCGAGATATACGTGATGCCTATTCCAAATCTGGTTTTGCTAAAATTATTTTTTCATTTTTGAGCTTACCAGAATATGTCCATACTCCAAATTGATTTTGGCACAGTTGAATAAGCATTGAGTACCTCTTTACGAGAAACATATAGTCGCTGCTTGCCAACATCAGCTCTTTGCATTTTGTTTCATTATTAATACAAAGCTTAACTCACAAATATATAACTAAGAAAAGACTGACGAAAACACTGAAATTAGATTGAAATCTCAAAACCTACAGGAAGGTTTATCTTCTAATAGAGTAGCGTTGTACCAACAAGTACAACATATCCAGCAGTCACTACAATCACTGTCAGAAGTGCAAGAATTCCAACAAGTGTTAAGTTGCGGGAATAACCTCCTCGTAATTCTTGAGAGATCATGCTTAACATCGAGTGTAGCCATGAATTGTGTCTTTGAAATCCACGGCATGTTGACTGAAATATTTTATCATCATAATTATAAAATCAAATTATAACCAGTACATCATTATAAAACATACATGTCTAAAATCTAAATGTCATGGATAAAGATGCATGCATATTCTTGCATACGTACAAAATATGTATATAGTCTCACATATGTACCTAAATACATAATGGAAAGCAAGCAGAATCAAAATTTTAAAGATAGTAAAAATAGATACTAACCAGTGACTGCTGCAAGAAGAACAACGAAAATAGAACAAAGCTTAATCAATGCCATGATAGAAATTATACTTCTCTTTGCTTTCCAGTGGTCATAATTTATAGACCTCCACTTTAATTATGAACTAGCTGTCAAGCACGTGCTATAGTTGTTTCTTTTTGTTTTTTAATAAATTCTTTAATTTAGTTTTATGCTCAAGACGTGCTTCTGTTGACATCCCCTTAAATAATCAGTCTATATTTTAAAATCTCTTGCATGGAACATCTCCAAAAAATAACATACCGTGAATTGTGCTTCTTAAGTTGTCCCCTATAAATTGATGACCTGATCTTGGATACATTATTTTCGTAAGATGCATGTGATAAATGAATATGAACCTGATCGATAATATTTGTAATACAAGTAGGCAACTAAAATATTCTAGTAAGCAATCCATAGTCACCTTTTTGAAAGGAATCAAATAATAGTAAACTATATACATGGGAACCGTATTTACTGAGTACTTATTATCATCCACAGTTGCTCGAATCTCGAGAAATTCTTCAAACTAATCGTAGACTTTTATTGAGATAGGCATAATTCCCCTTCTATAAATCGTAATACTTTATGCGAGATACGTTGAGATAGGCAATAGGCGTAGCTCCCCTTTTAAAAACCGTATTACTTTACGCAAGATACATTGCAGGATCATGTACTGATATACAGATCAAATTTGGAAGAAAATACCAAATTGATCTATTATAATATGTGGAACTGAAGTTGAAAATCAAAATCATAAAGCTATATATAGAGAAAACACAACTACTAGTATATAATGGAAGGAACTTTGCATTCCATCTAATTAATGATATTTAATTCTACAAATGACTAGTCTATCTTTGTATTAAAGCATAACAAATTTGAGAGGAAGAGAAATGAGTAGTGTGGTGCAAAGCATCCTTTGAATCCTCAAGCAATAGGCTTCAATACATACATCTTGCATGCATGAGAGTTCACTGTTGCTGTCAAATTCCCTTCAAATCTTGTCTTCAATGTCTTGTGCTGCATCTCAAAATCACAACCATGTTATTTTGTACCAAAATGCAAAAATAATCCCACAATATGTAAAGAGCTACTCCCTCCGTTTTAAAAAGATTGTCGTAGTTTGACTAGACATGAACTTTAATAAAGAAGAGAAGACTTTTGAGATATCTGGTCTTAAATAAGCCACAATATTTGTGTGGCTGTAAAACCTTTGAAACTTGTGGCCTTAAACCTGTCATATAGAATTCGTGTGGCTATAAATGCTTCTTATTCAAGAAATATTGAAAGGTGTCAATCTTGTTGAAACGGACTAATAAGGAAATAGTACCAATCTTTTTGAAATAGAGGGAGTAGCAATCAGTGAGTGAATAATGGTTATAAATTAAAGTTCTGCCTTTGTGATTAACTTTGAAATCTTTTATCCAGGAATCTTCCATATGACAGAGTTAGGAATTTTTAAGTTTGTAACATAAACACATACCTCCCAAAGATCTCTTGCTTCTACAACACTGTTAGGAGGGATCCCAATGTCTTCCCAGAGAGCTGTTATTTCTAGTTTAGTAGAGCCGCGGTTGAGAAGCAATAGAGCTACTCTATAGCCTGATAGAGGCCCTGCCCACACCTCGAGATCGCCTTGCATTCTAACCTTTTTGCCCTGGATACCTAATTCATCTGTTTAAAGCAATGAAATGACTATTAATACCTTGAAAACTACTCAAAAGGACCTGGTTTCGCGTATAAATCATAACTAATGACTAGTTGTTGTTAACATAATATGTGGTTTAGTACCTTGGTTCACAGCAATGACCTCTTTGTTGGCAAGTATTTCTTTGGTATCATTTGATAAGTTTCTCACATCACAACCGATGATAAGGGGAGCCTGGAGTTAGCAACAAAGCTCAAAATGGATCATACATTCTGTCACAAATAGTTCTAAAAAGAAGTGAAATATAAATTTGCCTGTCTTTTTTACCTTTGAAATCGCCCAGAGACTAAAGTGGACAATGTATTCATCCTTTGTCATCCCTCCATTTCCCACCTCAAGCATATCAGGATCTGTTTTCAAACAATTGTAAGAATGTGGGATTTTAACAAAAAACTAAAAAGCATCATGTTTAATACTAACCATTCCAACCACCAGGTCGCGCAAGGTCTGCATAAACTTCATTCTGGTCTGCTCGCGAAATCATGCTGTCAAACAAGGATAAATGAACAAGATTTTCAGATTCAAGATCAAAGTATACATGAAATCTATCAATTTATAAATGTATTACCTTTCCCATGTATCCTGAATATCAATCGTGTTTCTCCAGCTGTTACCTACTTTGCCACCCCACAACGCCGGATGCAAGTCACCCCTATATAAATTAAATAGGTACATACATAGCATCAATATAATAGTGTGAAATGAGAGCACAGAAGAAGAAAGCATAAGTGTAATCTTTAATAGGGAAAAAGTTGTTGTCACCATTCACAAAGACTAAAGAAGATTGGCCGTCCTGCGTTCATTAGAGCTCTTGTCATTACAGGATATCTACACAAGACAGATACCCGGTTAAGAAAAGAACACGCGATAGACGACTAGTGGAATCTGTCACACATGATTTCACGAGGTGAACAGAAACACCAAATATTTACCGCGCAGTTGGCTTTGTTCCATCATGGTTGCAGTTATCATACTTCAAATAATCAATACCCTGAAGGAAAATGCTGTTACTTACAAATGTATTCGAATTTTTTTACAATTAAAAAATATCAAGATTAATCAGGAAAGTATTATTCACCCATGCTGCAAAAGTTTTTGCATCTTGTTCCTCATGACCAAGTGAACCAGGCATTTTTCTGCTGCAAGTATAATACCTGTAGAACAAAATAAAATCTCTTAAAATGATGTCTTTCGTGATCAAATACGATATCTTTTTAAAATGAATGTTATGTGCAAGTTTACCCTGCATCTGAGTAGATTCCTAGCTTAAGACCTTTACTGTGAACATAGTCAGCTAGAGCTTTCATTCCAGAAGGAAATGTGGACTTTTTAGGTGCAAAATTTCCCTGGAATTTTAGATTTTATAAGTAAAGAAAACTAATAAGGAAGATAGTACATAAAATAATCTGAATTGCAGTACCAAACACAGTTTCCAGTTGAGACAAGGGTACCTTATCGTCGCGTTGAGGTTCGGCCCAACAATCATCTAAAAAAGAAAAATGTTACACATGGACATGGTTTAAGTATTTATCAGTTTCTGTTATGGTGTAACCTGAGCGGATCCAGAATTTAATGTTTATGGGTTCCTGCAACAATCTCGAGTAAATTTTCAATAGTAACTAGGTTCACATTCACATATTTGTAGATATTTAGTGAATTTTTCGAACAAATTTACACTGTTTGAACAAAAACTACTGGATTCACGTGAACCCATAGGTTGCAGGGTGGATCCGCCACCCTTAACGCAACTATTTTGGACTCGGAATGTAAATGTAAATCCTGGATCCATCTTTAGTTGAGGACATACCTATATTAACATAATTATATCCAAGTTTATCAAGACCAGTTGAAACCAAGGCATCAGCTGTCAAACAAAAGAAAGTTCAACATCAGGGGTTAAATTAAGCAATGCAGGCAAATAACAAATAGTAGTATATAAATCACTTATAGTATCAGTAGTTAACACTTACCAGTTTCTCTTATGACTTTCTCATCAATATTGCAGCCAAAATGATTCCAACTACTCCATCTAAAATAAATATTTTGCTTTTGTTAGTTAAAATTGCCAAAAGTTAACTGATTGCAAGAAAGAGCCAAGATCCATGATTTAAGAAAGTGGATGCATAGAATCATGCAACCACAACTCTATTGTGACAATATATACAATGATTTAACTTATATTTATTGATAGTGTAAAAATTTTATATTACTGTAATTTAACATGTTGTAGCAGGTTGCGTGTCTTATTTTTCAAGTAAAATATTTTTAATAAAAAGGGCAGCCCGGTGCACTAAGCCCCTGCTATGCGCGGGATCCGGAGAAGGGCCGAACCACAAGGGTCTATTGTACGCAGCCTTATTTTTCAAGTAACTAATTCAATTTATTATGCACAGTTAATTATAGTTACTTATCTTTTAGATGATGTATATAAAAATTCTTTTATACTGCCGGTATATAGAAGTTAAACTAGTACTAACTAAGCATAATATGCACACACGCAATTATTCTCCACTTTCAAATATTTGTACGTAAACTTTACTTCTTCCCCTTTTCTGGTTGATCGTTACAGATTAATTAGAGCTAAATCCATCGCAACAAAGAGCAAACACAGAGACGGATATATATATATATATATATATATATATATATATATTTTGTGACATTGGCAGCTAGCTTAGTATATATAGTTCAAAGTGAAAACAGTGAATGCGACCTCATCATATATAGTACATCCACCCGTGAAGTTTAAGATGAAAAGAAAAAAAGTAAAAGATCAGAAAATAAGTAAATGGAAATAATCAAATTAACTTAATTTACTAACGGAAAAAGTATGATTTATGATGTTATAAACGTCAATACCACACAAGACGGGGGGGGGGGGGGGTNGATTTGTGTGGTACCTAATTTTCGCGTTAGAAGAACCTGGTTCTTCTAAGTGTTCTAACTACAGCAGTTTGCGGAATAATAAATACTGAAAGTAAAGTGCACAGAGATTTTTACGTGGAAAACACCTGGCTCAAAAGGTGAAAAAACCACGACCTACTACTCAGTAGGNAGTGTGTCAAGGAGCAGTGCAGAGGCAGAGTATCGCAGCATGGCATCAGCAGTTTCTGAAGTTGTATGGCTGCTTGGTTTGTTTTCAGAATTAGGAGTATCCATTGTGCAATCAATCTCACTGTTTTGTGACAGCAAAGCAGCAATGCAAATAGCTGCTAATCCTATCTTCCACGAACGGACTAAACACATTGAGATCGATTGCCATTTCATTCGAGAACACATCAAAAGAGGACTGGTCACTACTCAATATGTGTCATCTAAGGATCAGCAAGCTGATCTTCTCACAAAAGGATTACCTTCAGGGCAACATCATTTTTTACTAGGCAAGCTGGGTGTCTTGAACATTCTTCATCCACCCGCTTGAGGGGGAGTATTGGAAGTTACTTGTAATTAGACTTGGACTAGTTAGTTTGTTTATCCAATTAGTTAGGACCAAAGTGTACATGTTAGAACATAGAGTGGTCATAGTTATTATTTTGTATGGATGTATATAATAGTTAGTTACTACAGTGAAATATTAGTTGGAAAAAATTCCCAAAACAGTCTTCTTCTTCTTCACGCTGAAGCTCCCTTCAATGGCTAAGTTTTTGACAACAAAAATATATACTAAACTAGTGATTTAATAGTTTATACCGCTTAACATGTTTTAATATTAGTACATCCATTTATGATTAAAAAATTGGGTAGCACAAAGGTGATGTTATAAACGTCAATACCACACAAGAGGGGGGGGGGGTGATTTGTGTGGTACCTAATTTTCGCGTTAGAAGAACCTGGTTCTTTTAAGTGTTCTAACTACAGCAGTTTGCAGAATAATAAATACTGAAAGTAAAGTGCACAGAGATTTTTACGTGGAAAACACCTGGCTCAAAAGGTGAAAAAATCACGACCTACTACTCAGTAGGATTTTCCCAACTCCACTAAAATCACTGAGCCAAAAACTGCATTTACAAAACTCTTTGTAAACCTAAGGATTAACTCTAATCCCAGTGTAGCACACAGCCTCAACTGTTGCGACACTTTCAAGTTAACTCTAACTTGAATACTCAGAGTACCTAATACAATTGCTTCTAGGAAAGCTGAAAGGTACAATATGAAAACCTACTACAATTGAACTAGACTTAGAATAAACACAATGATGAAACTGGTTCTTCTATCTTAGTTCATGTAGCTTCAGACGTGCACACTTGTATCTCGCATATGTTGCTTGCAAATCAGACTTGATCTTTTTGCTCTCAAATATGCTTAACTTCTGCTTATGTGCATACACCTGTAAAAGAGAACAGTCGTTATATTTATAGAGTTAGTAATCAGAGTTTGATAAGAACTCGAATTGTGGATCCTTTGACAATTCGAGTCCAAGAACAACTCTAACTCCTAATCCATATTCTTGATCCGGATGTAATTCTCTTTTCATAAGGAGACTTCAACTCCTTATCCTATATGCAATCTTTTCGATCAGTTCAGAAGATATTCATCAAGATATTGCTTCTTGATCTCAAGGACTTATCTTCTTCACGTGCATCTCATGTGTATGGGCCATAACAACTGTGTCTCCTTAGATGAACCTGGTCCTTCACTGAGTTCGTTTGTCATTCTTCAAAACTTCAACTGATCTTGGGCCAACAGCTAAAATTGATCTTATAGAAGGATTTCCCCCTCCTACCACTGTTAAAGGTATTAGAAGTTTCTTAGGGCATGCACGTATTTTTAGAAGGTTTATAAAAGATTTTTCAAAAATCTCAAAACCTCTGACTAACCTACTGATGAAAGATGTGAAGTTTGAATTTTCAGATAATTGCAGGAATGCATTTGAAATTCTCAAGAAACAATTGACTAATGCTCCAATTGTTGTTTCTCCTGACTGGAGCCAACCCTTTGAAATAATGTGTGATGCAAGTGATACAGCAGTAGGAGCGATAATGGGACAAAAAAGAGACAAGATTTTCAGGCTTATTCACTACGCAAGTAGAACCCTCAATGAAGCTCAAAAGAATTATGCTACAACTGAGAAGGAACTACTTGCAGTAGTATTTGCATTTGACAAATTTGTTCCTATTTGATAGGAACAAAGGTTACAATTTATACTGATCATGCAGCTTTAAAATACCTTTTAGCAAAGAAAGATGCTAGACCCAGATTGCTAAGATGGATACTCCTTTTGCAAGAATTCAATCTTAAAATAAAAGACCGAAAAGGTTCTGAGAATCAGGTAGCTGATCATTTGTCTCGTTTGGAAAATCCTCCTACCAAGATAAAAGATATCAAAGAGGAATTTCCTGATGAACATATATTTTCAGTCACAACCGTTATAAATCGACCACCGTGGTTTGCTTATATTGCCGACTACTTGGCTGGAGGATGGATTCCAAAAGATTTTTCTTATGAACAAAAGAAAAAACTTAAAAAAGAAGCAAGACATTATTACTGGGAAGATCCTTACTTGTTTAAATTTTGTGCAGATGACATAATCAGGAGATGTGTACCGGAGACAGAAATGAACAACATCTTAAGTCACTGCCATGATGGGGCTACAGGAGGACACTATGGCGGAAGAAGGACAGCAGCTAAAGTACTTGAAGTTGGATTTTTCTGGCCTACTCTATTCAAAGATGCAAGGAATTATGTCGCCACTTGCGATAAATGCCAGAGAATCGGTAACATTTCAAAAAGGGACGAAATGCCTCTTAACTCTATTTTTGTGTGCGAAATCTTTGATGTCTGGGGCATTGATTTTATGGGTCCTTTTCCTCCTTCAAACGGATATGAATATATTTTGGTAGCCGTTGACTATGTTTCAAAATGGGTAGAAGCAATTGCTACTAGAAAAAATGATGCTCATATTGTTTGTGCTTTTCTCAAGAAAAATATTTTTTCTAGATTTGGAACTCCACGAGTTATACTAAGTGATCAAGGAACTCATTTTATAAATAGACAATTTGCTAGTTTGTTGTTAAAATATGGAGTAACTCATAAAACAGGAACTCCATATCATGCTCAAACAAGCGGGCAAGTAGAAGTTTCCAACAGAGAATTAAAAAGAATTTTAGAAAAAGCTGTTGGTTCTTCTCGAAAAGATTGGTCTTTAAAATTGGATGATGCTTTATGGGCATACAGAATTGCTTATAAAACTCCCATAGGCACATCTCCTTATAGACTAGTTTTTGGGAAAACTTGTCATTTACCCGTGGAATTAGAACATAAAGCATATTGGGCTATAAAATTGTTGAATCTAAACTTACCAGATGCAAATAAAAATCGTTTATTGCAGCTTGATGAGTTGGAAGAGTTAAGACTTATAGAATATGAAAATGCTAAATTGTACAAGGAAAAGACAAAAAGGTGGCATGACAAGCTCATCCGCCATAAAGATTTTAAAGTTGGAGATCATGTTCTGTTGTACAATAGGATTGAGATTATTCCCAGGAAAGTTTAAGTCACGCTGGACAGGACCATATACAGTAACAGAAGTGACCCCCTATGGTGCCATTGAAGTACAACATACAGATGGGGGAGACAAATTCAAAGTAAACGGTCGTCGTTTGAAGCGTTATATCAGCAGATTCTTCGACAAACAGGCTTCAACAATTCTTTTTGCCTAATTTTTAAAATAAGTCGAGCTGGCAACGTTAAACTCAGAGCTATTTTCTTTCCCTCTCTTTAATCTTTAAATTATTAGTAGTAACATATAATATTTCCTTTTAGTAAATATATATAATAAAATTAGTTTTTTTCTTATATAACAAAAGGTAAAAAAAAAATAATAAATAATTGCATGTTTGTATTATATTATATATATGTGTGTATGTAGTATGTATTAATATATTTTTCCATAATAAAGAAGCACTCTCATGATTGAGACAATGAAAGTTTTCTCCTATCACGAAAGAGAACATTTCTTTGCCATAATCTTGTCTTTATTATATGAGAAAAACCTTGAGAAGCCAAGAAAAAGGAAATGAGGCTAGAATCGAAAAACATCAGGGAAGCTCCTTTATCTCCTTTTACTTTTAATTTATTTGTCATGAGGACATGACATTATTTAAGCTTGGGGGTAGAGGAATATGTTTGTTATATATGTGTTTCTTTCAAGTTTTTTTTCGGTTAAATAAAAAAAAGAGAGTATATTTTACAACTAAAATAAATGTTTTTAGTAAAATTATAAAAATAAAAAAAATGAAAAAATTTTGGTTGCCTTATTCTTAAGGCAACTTATAACATATACTTCCATGGATTTCTTGTTCAGTTCTTTGCCATGGTCGTAATATTTTGAACTGAACATTTTTTAGGACTTTTAGCTGTTTTAACTTGTTTTGGTAAATAAGTTGGCTAAACTTGATTTGACTTGAAAAGCATGACATTTAGAAAAGACGAATTCGATTAAGTACCATTCACGAGTTTTATGATCACTTTTCTAAACTCATACTTACTTATTGGTGATTGAAATCATGGTTTTCGTTAGCCCAAGTGTATTGTGCGGTTAGCTTATATTGTCTAGTTCTCCTGCTTATCTGGAAATCTAGAACTTGCCTTGAATGTGGATTGAGGCGAAATTCTAGGTAGATCTTTGAGTTAAGAAATGAACGTAGGCCTTCTTTGTTGAGCCATAGCCTAAATTGACCTACCTTAATAATTTTTATCCCTAGTTAGCCCAGTCGTGCCTAAATAAATTATCTATTATTTTGTTGGTCGCCATGCTTTAACCCTTAGCCTGTTTGTTGTTATGACTTGTTCTTTGTTCACCCAATTCCCTTTCGGGAACCTTAAGAGTTGATCTGAATATAAAAATCTTGGCGTGAGGTGTAATTGTAAATAACTGGTGAAAGAATAATTGTTTGAAGTTGTCGATATTTTGAGATGTTGTCGTAAGAACTAAAAAAAATAGTTGCTTCAGAATTTCACAAAAAAAAAAAGCAACAAAGAAAAGTTGGCAACTCCATAAAAAAAAATTGAAAGGGATGAAACAAAACAGAAGTTTATTGTTTAAATGAGATGAAAGGCAATTGTAGTTAAGAGATAAAATAAATGTGTAATGCCCATAGGGAATTTGAGTCACTATTATCTATATGTATCCTACCCATCCCTAAAGCCTACTTTACAACCTTGCAAAAGTCCTACATGATCTTAACTCAGAGACTCCTATATTAGTGGAGAACCACATGATAGTCAAGCTTATGGTTATTTCCAGTAGCTTGAGGTACTTCTTTGTTGAGAGTGAGTATATATTTTTATCTATGCCCTTCTTTGATCCTATATCTATATATTATGTGATATATGGGCATCTCTCTTCATTCAGTGAGACACACTTGGGATTAGAAAATATTATGATTTCAGTTCTCAATTGGTGAACATGAGTACAGCTGAAAGTTGTTTGAACTCGTGGATTGGTCTTGGTCAATTCTTCTCTGTCAAAACCTCTCATGATTTCACTTAAAGTATTTAGTTACTATGTTCATTTTTTTTCTTTGCTCAAGGACGAGCAAAAGTTTAAGTATGGGAGAATTTGATAAGTGTATTTTACCTGATCTTAACCACATAATTTCTCTCATAAAAATATATAAATTATCATGTTTCCTCCATATTCTTAACTTTATTTTGCAGGAATAATTATAGAAGAATTATGTGCGCGGCATGAAGAAAAATACAACCGAGAAGTGTGAAATCGAGCTACGAGTCATTACTGCCGTGACAATGCACCAAGTCTCGATTTGCCATGATGAAATCTAAACTTAGAATTGCAGAATTCTCATCTCTGCAATGAATTAAAATCTTGATTTGCCATTGAAATCTAGCACCAAATCGAGAATTCAAATTCTGCAAATGCAAAATCTAGATTTGTCATGATGAAATCGACGAAATCTAAACTTAGAATGATGAATTCTCATATCTGCAAATGCAAAATCTAGATTTGCCATGGAAATCTAGTACCAAATCCAGACGTCATCATGAAACTTTCTTATATAAGAAGATGTTGCTCGATCAGAGAAAGGCAACACAGTAGAGAGAAAGCTTAGAGCTAGAAGTCTGAATCCAAATTCTTAATAAGTTTCTCTATTTTATTTCTTTTACTAGTATCGAGTTATCTTTTTTTTTAAATCACAATAGTGGTTTAGTTGTTGTTTCTAAATAAATTCCAGTGTAAAAAATTACTCTAGTTTCTGCTTTTGATTAAATAGGGGGAATTATTCTTCTTGAATATTTCTTTCTATTTTCTTATTTAATGGACAAGAATATTTCCATTGTTAATACTAGTTCCAGTATGGAGTAACTTTTCTTGTGTTGGGAGAAAGACGGATCTTAATATTTCTATATTATAGTAGATATTATTCCTCAAATTCACATGCTTGAGCTAGAATTTATTTAATTTTTATCTGCTTTTACAGTTAGACGTTATTTAATTTATTAACATCTATCTATCTTATACTACATATTAATTGTTTATTAATTCTGTAATCGAGAGAGGCGGAAGAAATAATATAGTTAAATGTAGTATTAGTAAATGTTAATATTTATTTAGTAACATCTATCTCTTTTACGTTATAATTAATTTTACACTTATTTGTAATCGAGAGAGGCGAATGGTGTAATAATAAGTTATAACAAGTAGGGAAACCGAAAGGGACTTACTATCAAGAGCATATTTTAGCTCAATCATATATTTCTGGTTCTTTAGTGTTACTATTTTGAAGATTAATTTGTATAACCGAGAGGAGTGCAATTAATTATTCAACTTGAGTAATAATATATATTTGTAATCGTGGCATTTATACCTTTTTGAGAAATAGAAATTGAAGAATAATAATTCTACTATATAATAGAAATATTAAGTGAAGTCAGGATCCCAACACCTTTTATTATATTTGTGAAAAACATAATATTTTCTACTGCTCTATATATGCATTTTTAGTTAGTTAATTTACAACTCAACTCTTTCTGATTTTTTCAAATAGTAATTAAAACAAGAAACGTCTGTAGAATAGATAAACCAATCTCTGTGGGTTCGACATCTTTCTATACTATAATTTGACAGAGTACGAGTTTAATTTATATACACACCAGACACTCGTCACACGGCTCGAAGTGATTATAATAGAAGCCAGGAGCTCCTCTTATCGAAACCTCGGAGGAATGAATGATAAAACTAAAATCGGACACCGTGAAATTACGGGCTCGGGCCAAGTATAGCTTCTGGACCTCAGGGGACGTGGTGAACGTTTATGCATGACGAGCAGGAAGCCGTAATATTCGCCCTCAACCGGATATTACGGCACGAATCCCATTCAATATCAACTGCCGATCAACAATTACCAGAAAAAGAAGATTTTTATCTTTTTTAGACTTGTACTAAGACTGAAATTCCCCTACTATACGAAGGGGAAGGTTTTCTTTATTCTGGAACATTGTAACAGGCAACTCAAAGCAGTAAAAGTTTATTTTTGTCTTCTAGCTATTGTTCAAGGCATTATTCATTTGTTCTTTTCTTCACCGCGACCAAGCTTAAATCGAGGGTCCAATCGAGAATGAATTCTACTGTTCAATCCATGACCAGGCTCGGTCATTACGTTGCGATTGGTTTGGTCATTTATTTTGTCTTTAACTCATTTACTTGTTGTTCTTAATTATTCGTATTGAATTAAATCATATATTCTTTAAATTACGTACAAATTTAATTGTTACTCATTTTTGGGATAAACAGTATTAACTTCTGATAGTGGGTGAATTGCTGGAAAGAAACTAAGCTAGACCTTTGACGAATTTAACTTGATATATTCGAAAATTAAGAAAATACTTTTATTCTATTTCTTCAATGTAAATAAAATAGGAGTATTGCTGTTCACCAAACTAAAATAAAATCTAGCATTAGAAAAAACTTTATCAATTTTGAAATAGAACAATCAGTGTAAAGTAGGACTGTGCATAATTTGGTAAGTACAGAATTACCGGTCGAAATCGAAATTTTTTGTATTTGGTATTCGGTATTTTGGTATTCGGTATAATATTTAGTTTAAGTTTAAAAAAAATGGCATTAGGTATGGTATTTTGGTATTTTAAAATGAAATATCGAAATACCGATATCGTACCAAAATATATATTATATTACACAAAACACATATTATCAATTATAACATAAATATAAAAAATCTCAAATTTTACTTTCCTTTATTCTCTAAGTTCATCAATTAACTCTAAACAAGTAACAAGACATTTCTAATGATCAAATTTATTCCGTATATGGATTGACCCACATAACGCGAAAGAGAAATCACCAGCTCTGCTCCCCGTCTCAACACTACGTGATCGCGATTCTTTTTTCGCGAACGCGGTGCTCCAGTTCCCTTAACTAGGCGAACGCGGTCTATACCTCGCGGACGCGAAGCAGAAAATCCCAGCTCCAAACTTTACCTTACGCGATCGCGTCTTCATCTTCGCGGTCGCGGAGAACAATTGAGGCTTCAGACACCATCAATACCAGCAATGAAAATATGAAGAACAATGGTCTGAAATCAGTCTGAAATATGCCCGAGCCCCTCGGGACTCCGTCCGAACATACCTACAAGTCCCATAACATAACAAGGACCTACTCGAGACCTCAAATAATACATAACAACATCAAAATCACGAATCACACCTCAAATCGAACTTAATGAACTTTGAACTTTTAACTTCCAAAACTCGTGCCGAACCGTATCAAACCAACTCGGAATGACTCCAAATTTTGCACACAAGTCCCAAATGAAATAATAAAGCTATTCCAATTCCCGTAATCATAATCCAAACCCGATATCATCAAAGTCAACTTTCGGTCAAATTTATAAACATTCTAAACCTTCAAATTGCCAATTTTTGCCAATTAGTGCCGAAACCTTCTTGAAATATCAAAATACAATTTCTGACATACGCCCAAGTCCAAAATCACCATCCTGACCTAAAAAAACTCTAATCCGGGGTCAAATACACAAAAGTCAAACTTGGTCAACTCTCCCAACTTAAAGCTTCCTAGTTGAGAATCATTCTTTTAAATTACCTAAAAACCAAATCGACAATTCACAAAAGTCATTACACATTATACAAAGCTACTCAAGACTTCAAATAGTTGAACGGAATGCAAATAATCAAAACTATCGGTTGGATCGTTTACAACCACCTTCCACACCAATGACCCACCTTACAATCATTCTTAGGCCATCCACAACTTCCATTAGCACATGCATGCCCAACAATTCACTCCCAACCAATCAATGTCATCAATTAAACCATTTTAAAAATCTCTACAACAACCTAGGTTAGGCACTCATGGCTTACAATCACCATCCCATAAGTCCTAACACATATTTCATACATAAATAAGTTAGAGATTGTAGACATACCTCTTGTAGTAAAACTCTTGAAAATCCCAACTTGTGGTGTTCTTGACCAATTTGAGAATTTGAATGGAAATTTTGGATTTTCAAGATTAATCCTTGTTAATACAAGTATTTAGGAGTAGTAATTGACTCAAAATACTCCAAAAATATTTTCTTGGTTCATGGGAGGGATGTATATGATGGATTCCCTTTGTTAGAGCAAGCCCTAGCTCAAAGAAATGAGTTAGCCACTCTCTCTCCCTGACCTTGGTGGTATTTATAGGGTTCCCCATGTGCTCTTCCACGCACCTGGGCAAGTGAACGCGCAGCTGGGCACGCATACAAGGCAGAAAAACCTTATTTTGTGCGATGGCGTGCACCTGACAATCTCAACGCGCAGTTGGGACACTATCTGGTAAAATAGCCATAACTTTTTGTAGAAATATTCAAATGACAAACAGTTTGATGCATTGGAACCAGACTCAATGAGATTTTAATTGATAGGTATATCACCATGTAAATCCTTATAGTTTGGAGTTGAACTCGTTCGAAGCCGGGTCTTGCGGGAATTCATTCAAAAATTAGCCCATTGCATAGTTCCCAACTAGGCTTAGTTCTAGGGCTCTCTTTAGACCCTAAAACACTTCCAATACACGTCCTACATTTAATATTATGATCATCTAAGTTGGTTCTAGTCCATAATCTCTTGTGGAAGGTAAGGCATCACTTAAGCGACTCATGAGAGTGCTTTAAGGCCTCACACTTATAGGAAATCTTGAGGGGACTTACGCGAAAACAAGCTAAATCTTCCATGGAAGATTCAAAACATAATAAGAAGACCACCTTAAATATAAATAACACTGATAATCAGAAAATATTGGAAAATAAACAGAGGGAAAAAAGAAGAAAAACCTCACCTAATAATTGTAGAGCCATCGCACGTAAAACAGGCTAAAGTATCAAAGAAAGAACACTTAAGATGAAGGCGTACGTAGTTTTAGCGTGTCAAAAGAAGTAGCACGTGCCACAACAAATTACCATCAAATTTACCAAAATATCAATGAACGACCCTGAGCTCCTCTCCTTAGTCGCTTATATATATATATATATATATATATATATATATATTCCTTTTTGGTGTTATATATGATCACTCTTTATGGCATAATTTCATAGACTCACTTTGACCCCGTTGCATGGAGACAAAATCATAGAGCTAACGAGGGTAAATTTTAAAAATACAGATTTACAACTGGTCGTTCAACAATAGCCCAATTTCAAAAGTAATCGAAATTTAGCCACTTTTTATATAAAGATAAATCTGAGCGAAAATACTGTTCAAAACCCGGAAAATACTCCAGTATATTATGCTGGAGTTCCAGCATAAGTATACTTGAACTCCAACATATTATACTGGAGTTCCAGAATAAGTATGCTGGAACTCCAGCATAATATGATGGAGTTCCAGCATAAGTACACTAGAACTCCAGCATAATATACTGGAGTTCCAGCAAGTATATTGGTCCAGTATAATATACTGGAGTTTGGAGCACCGGTGCTCCAGTCTCCAGTATATTATATTAGAGCCAACAAAGTATATCGGTCCAACATAATATGCTGGGGTTCCTACACAAGTGCACCGAACTCCAGTATATTATGCTGGACCGGTCTCTATTGCAGCAAAATAGTGGCTATTTTTCATTGACCTGGTAAACGCTGGCTATTTTTGATTGACCAGTCCGAAAACTGGCTATAACGTGAAATTTAAACAGCTAACGAGTTAGATTTAGAGCCCGTTTGGATTGGCTTATTTGAAGTGCTTTTAAGCCAAAATAGCTTTTAATCGATTTTGTAGTATTTGGATAAAACACTTATTTTTAAGTTAAAATGACAAAAATAAGCCAAAAGCCAAAAATTAAAATTCCTAACTTATGACTTTTGACTTAAAAGTTACTTAAAATGAGCCCATCCAAACGGACTCTTACTTCTCATGCGGTGAAAATAGTATTTACGTCGTGATTTTAAAGGCTCATGTTTGATTGAAAACAGTGTAAAACAAAATACAAAAATTTTGGTAAGTAAATTAAATGGAAAAAACAATATATTTCTCCGACCCAATATGTTAAATCTTGTTCGCTTGTCGCTTATCTGGATAACTTCATGAAGATAATTCTTTGATTTTACTAAGCAAAGTAACAAATGATAGCAGTTCATAGATGTAACAAAAGTCCACATTTCACAATAACAAGTCCAATCACCAGCTTTTCGGCAAGCTGGGAATCAAACACTAAAAATAGCTCTCCCATATTTTCCTCGCTCCTTGTCCATATTTATCTCAACCCCTTCCCAACATATCATGTGTAATACAAGGGCATTTTCTTATGATCCTCCAACTCCATTTCCAACACCAATTCCACCACCTTTCTTTCCACCATTTATCTCTGTCTCTCACACACACGCACACACTAGACACGTATATATAACGTACATGTATACGTGGAAATACAGATACTTCCACGATGCCGGAAGGTCATAGAGGACACAGAACGCGACATAACCGCGGGCCGAGCCGAGAACCGGGCCGGGCCAGAGTGCCGTTGAGGCTACTCCTCCGAGTGGCATCAGTAGCCGGCGGGATACAATTCGGGTGGGCTTTACAGCTGTCACTACTCACACCATACGTGCAAGAGCTCGGAATTCCTCACGCGTGGGCTAGCATAATATGGCTGTGCGGGCCGCTTTCGGGCTTGCTGGTTCAGCCTTTGGTTGGACACATGAGTGATCGGTGTACCAGTCGGTTCGGTCGCCGGCGGCCGTTTATTGTTGCCGGAGCTGTGTCGATCATGATTGCTGTGTTGATCATCGGTTTCTCAGCTGATATTGGTTGGTTGTTTGGCGATAGGGGTGAGACAAAAGTGCGGGCTATCGCAGCTTTTATAGTAGGGTTTTGGCTGCTTGATGTTGCTAATAATTTGACTCAAGGACCTTGCCGTGCTCTTCTTGCTGATCTTACTAGTAAGCTCTCCTTTCAATTTTAACTATTACTAGTATTTTTTTAAGCACGTGCTTGTGGATTTTTCTGCTATTGCATTTTCTACTATGCTTCTTTATCTGCATTTGATCTTTGAATTTATAACTTTGTCATTTTGATTCATATATTTGGTAGTCTTCCTTATTTTTATTTTTCCATTTTTGTGGGTAAATTCTCTGTTTCTTTCAATGGAATAATCTTTTCTTCTGGGAGAAATCGACAATCATTCGTGGCAACGCGATGGATACTTTTTCCGACTTGTGCGTGTAAAGTTATAGTGCTAGAACTCGTATTTAGTGCAGTGGACAATGCTGCTCCTTCCCCTATGTAGCGGGGCAGACCCACAATATACTACCTATACGATTGGCTGATCAATGGGCTGATGAGCAAATTATTCATCGATAAGATGTATATTTTTTTTTTTAATGACAGTGGTGTCCATTGAGCGCACCTCTACTATTCCGGGTACCTGCTACTTCCCACGGTCCGCCAACACAAGTACCGGGTAACTCGGTCCTCTAAAGCTTAGGCAGATAGGAAAAATCACTTGGTAATTTTATCTCCTTGGGAGTATAGTTTGCATTGTTTTTATTTAATAATATTCCATCCGTTTCAGTTTATGTGAACCTTTTCACTTTTCGAGATTCAACTATGTAAACTTTGACCAACATTTTGAAATTTTTTTTTTTCGTCATATTGACATGAGAAGAACGGTAGCTTAGTACTATTTTTCGGATAGTTTTTGAATATCTAAAGTTTAATATTTAAATATTGAGTTAATATAATACTCCCTCCGTTTCAAATTAGATGAGGTACTTTCCTTTTTAGTTTATTCCAAAATAAATGACACATTTCTAAATTTAGAAATAATTCAACTTTAAACTCTTCATTTTTTACCTATTTTACCCTTAATGAGAAGTTTTTATAACCACATAAATGTCATAGTCCCACAAAACTTTTACCCCTTAAGCTTTTAATACCACAAGTTTTAAAAAATTTATTCTTTTTCTTAAACTCCGTACTGAGTCAAACAACCTAATCTAAATTGAAACAGAGGGAGTATAATTTAGCTTCAAATATTAGTTAAATTGACTCTCAGAAAGCGAAAAGGTTCATACAAACTAGATCGGAGAGAGTATTAATGTTGTCACAACTGTCTTGCAATTTGTTCCCTTTACTTTTTAGTAAATTTTCTTTTGTAGTAGACATTATACTTATGTTTCTCTCTTTTAATTAAAAATGAGACGACTATTATAAGATCCATATTTAATCTGTTATCTACCTTATAATAAAAAGCAAAAATCCAAATTAAATCTCTTATGTAGGAAATATATATCATAGTCTACAAGCTTTGGCTTTTCAGAATCCTACTTCAGTTTTCTAATTTCTTTAAGAATAAACATTTGCTTATTTAGTTCATTAATTATGTTTTCATGGTAGATGAGCTTAAGTGGTACGACATGTTCAGACTTCAGATTCATATTGCCTACCCCAACTTGTTTGGGCTTGCGGCGTACTTTGTTACTAAGGAGCTAGTAATATGTCCTTTCTATATGGTCATTTCATTTTTCGGCCGCACTTCCCATTTGGGGGAGAGCATTATATGCATAAAGAATAGAGAAATCGATGAAAATGGTGGCATTGTTCAGTTATAGTTATCAGATTTGAGGCAGAGGGCTTCTTGGATTAAAGTAGAAATATATGAAGTTAGAGCATCATTAATACGGCAAAGAATATGAAACGCTTGGTAGAATCTTTTGTGAGACACCAACTTAATTTTTTGATAAGAAACCAACATGTATTGTCTCTTATAAAAAAAGACACCAACTTACATTAACGACAGGGTATTCTCAATCTGTAACTATTTATTACTTCGGGAAGTTGTCTTAAAAGTTGTGACATCTTTCTTATGATCTCTATGCATGGTAGGAAAGGATCACAGAAGAACTCGAGTAGCAAATGCATACTTCTCCTTGTTTATGGCTATTGGTAACATCCTTGGCTATGCCACTGGATCTTACAGTGGCTGGTTCAAGATCTTTCCTTTTACCCTCAGTTCTGCATGCACTGTCAACTGTGCCAATCTCAAGGCTGCTTTTGTTATTGACATTATTTTTATTGCAAGCACTACATATATCAGCATATCTGCAGCCAATGAGCAGCCTCTAAGTCCCAGTCAGGTTGCCCCTCATACTACCGAAGAGATTGGAGAATCAAGCCATAGTCAAGAAGAAGCTTTTCTCTGGGAATTATTTGGAACTTTCAAGTTCTTCCCAGTTTCAGTTTGGGCGATCCTGCTTGTCACTGCTCTGACTTGGATAGGATGGTTTCCATTTTTGTTGTTCGATACTGATTGGTTTGGAAGAGAGATTTATGGTGGTGAGCCAAATGATGGAAAGAACTATAGTACTGGAGTTAGAATGGGTGCATTGGGTCTAATGTTGAACTCAGTGCTCCTTGGAATAACATCAGTTTTCATGGAGAAGCTCTGTCGGAAATGGGGGGCTGGTTTCACATGGGGAGTTTCAAACATAGTCATGTGTCTCTGCTTTATAGCAATGCTTATAATTAGTGTTGTTCGGAATAACATGGACATTGGTCTGGATCTTCCCCCAGATGGCATTGTTATCGCTGCACTAGTAGTATTTGCTATTCTTGGGATCCCACTGGCAGTAAGTTACTTCAAGTTGTATCCTTAAATTCTTATGCACTAACACATGTATATGTTGGAGAATGGAAAGATTAAACACCTCTAAACTGCAAGTTATCTCCTTTCTCCTGATTATTTATGGACAACCAATTGCTATCTGTCTTTTCTTTTCTACTCTATGCCTTTGTTTGAAACTAGGGGAAGAAAGAAAATAAGATGGAAAATGATGGAGAACTGAAAGGAAATTTAGAACTTTTACATTGTTTTATTATAAAGAGTTAAGGGCCAGGGAAATAAGTAGGTCGTTTAATAAGCAGTTTATGGGCTCAAGAGAACAACAACAAACAACAACAACAACCCAGTATAATTCCACTTAGGGGGGTCTGGGGAGGGTAGTGTGTACGCCGACCTTACCCCTACCCTGGTAGAGAAGTTGTTTCCAAATAGACCCTCGGCATCCTTCCCCTCCAAGAACTTTCCACCTTGCTCTTGGGGAGACTCGAACTCACAACCTCTTGGTTGGAAGTGGAGGTTGCTTACCATCAGAGCAACCCCTCTTGTCTTAGGGCTCAAGAGAAGATATTTTATTTCTTCTGAAAATTTGGAAACTATCTCTTCTTCCCTTTTGTCTTCTGAAACAACGTCAGATTTTGTCAGTCAGTTGACAGCTTGCTCGCTTTCGCTCTTTCTTTTCTTTCGAGTAGACAATACTGCAAGCTGATGACAGTTGAAATCTGTTGCTTTTCAAACTTCTATAAGCTGATATGATATTATTGTGTAACTGACTGAATCTTGAAGCCTATCAACTGTGACATGATATGGAAGGGTATTAGAGGGAGGTAACTATTACAGAAGGCTTTAGCATAAGCACTATATTTATGTTGGCTTGGAGAGAACTTCGTTCAGGCTCTGATTGTTTTTTTCTCCAAACTAATTCTTTGCAGATAACATACAGTGTTCCATATGCGTTGGTATCCTCTAGGATTGAAGCTCTAGGGCTAGGACAAGGTAGGTCGAATTATGTCTCTTTAGCTTATCCATGTATCAAATAGAAAGTAATGGTTCAATTACTGCTTTCAACCTTGCAGGACTGTCAATGGGTGTTCTGAATCTAGCAATTGTGATTCCACAGGTATCGTTTTGCTCATCTATTCTTTGGTTTCTTTTTATTTCATGTTGCTTCCAAGCCACTAATTCTATGGATCCAAAAAGGGCTTGTCACAAAATTTCAGCCCTTCCAGATGTTTTGAGTGAAAGCACTGGAGAGAAACAGAGGCATAGGAGAAATGATTTTTTTTTTTAAGTATCTTAGAGGAAGAAAAGAAAGGAGAAGGAGAGAAGGGGAGGGGAATAAAGTTAATGATGTTTCTAGCCAAAAGTAGGTGGAAATGGTGGAAAGGGGTATCTCTTTTGTGAATTTTTTTGTAATGTACTTAGTGTTAGAATATAGAGAAAATGTGTCTAGAATCTTTTTTTTTTTTTGATTTGCACCGGGTGTCCGAGTCTCTATGAGACCCGACTAATCCCAGGGGTGCACAGGCCCTCGGCAAGGAGTTTTCCGCAAGTGCACCACGGTTAATTCAAGTTTTACCCAGTCCGATGGCCCTCAGAAATTGTTTGCACCCAGTGGGTTTCGAACTTAAGACCTTGAAAGGGAGCATATCCCAAGACTCAAGTCAATTGCCACCAGGCCAACATGTGTCTAGAATCTTTATATTTGAATTAAAAATATCTTATGAAATACTCTATAAGACACCTTAAAGTACTCTGTATTTAGTACTCGATAGAACATTTACTTTAACCTTACCAAAATTGAAAAGGAATACCTACCATATTGTTCATAGCTTATGCTCCTATGTAAGAGCATCTCTTGGACATTGTTACTTAATCAAGTCAATGAAAAGTTTCTTCTAAAATCACATGGTGTCACAGCTTCTACTGTTCTTGGTAAAGACTCAAACAACTTCCACTACCTGCGGGTACAATATGTGTTGCTCGTCTAGCCAATTTTTTTTTCTTTTCATTTCTTCCTTTTGGTTTCTGGCACTTCTCCTCTCTCCAGCAACGGGTGCCACTACTCATCTCTCCGGCAACCATTTATGCACCGCTCCTCTCTGGCAATTGTGCAGACACCGCTTTGCTCTCTAAGATCGTTCAAGCACTGTTCATCTCTATCGAGATAGCCATTACGACTTTCTACATGACGATCGGCTTCCTCTAAACCTTGAATTTCTTGTTGCTATTTTGCCAGTTCGAATTATGCTATGTTCTGTCAGAACAGATCTCTCTCAATGAGTAGTGCAAGTAGCACTTTTTTTTCGCTGTACAGTTACCAACAACTTTCTGGAGCAAAGAATTCCAACACCGTTTTTCTTTTTGGTGATTGCGTACTATTCTAGCGAAGTTTCAGCATTGACTTTCTATGTTTTCAAAATAAGCAAACTCAGGTTTGTTTTCCCACTTTGAGTTTGAGGGGATTTGTCAGAATAAGAGAGTCTCTATTTAGATTCAAAAGAAGTCACTTGGTCTGCTGAAAGTCAACAGAAATCAGCTGGATTTTTTCTACAGAGCAAACTTCTTAGTGTCTTGCTTTTTGCTAAAATCAGCATTTCTTTCTTTTGCTTTTGATTCTTTGATTTAGCAATTTAAGATTAAATTTGTTAGATGGCCCTAGGACTTTGGTTTAAAGATTGTGTGGTAGACACACATCACGAGTTTGGTATTTAAGTGGTAGGAGGGTTTTGGGGTGGGTCCATACTCCCTTGAGTGTCGACTTTATGCTCCAACTTGGGATTGGCCAGCCTACCTGCCAGAAGCTACACTTTATGATTGGGCACAACCGACAACCGACAACCTGGCTACTGCCATAGCTGTGCCCCCAATTCAAGCGGAGACATTCCAGATCACCAACAACATGCTGCATCTTCTGCAGAATAAGGGATTGTTCTCCGGGTCACACATTGAAGACCCTCAGCAACACTTGAAAATTTTTTTGTCGATTTGTGTGACCCAAAGGCAGCTAAATGTGACCCCAGAAGCTATCAAGCTGTTATTGTTCCCATTCTCTGTGACTGGGGAAGCTCAGACTTGGTTGAATTCGCTCCCTATAAATTCCATTGTCATCTGGGAGGAATTAGTCAAGCAGTTCCTGAATAAGTTCTACCCGCCCAATAAGACTGCAAGGCAGATTGATGAAATATTGTAGTACAAGCAGCAGCCGACTGAGACCTTGCAGGAAACTTGGGAAAGATTCAAAGGGATGCTAGTGAAGTGTCCTCACCATGGTATTCCAGACCAGATGCTCGGCCAGAGGTTCTGCATGGGGTTAGCTGACAATCTAAAGGCGAATGTGGATGCTTCAGCTGGAGGTGCATTTTTGAGTAAGACATTCACCGAGTGCAAAGTCCTTCTTAACAAGATGTCCCAGAATTCGGGGTGGATGACGAGAGGTACAACACTGGCACCCATAGTGCATTCAGTTCCTCTTGACCCAAATAATTCGCATGCAGAGAACATAGCCACACTCATGACTCAGATGAGTACATTGACAAAGAAGATTGATGAGATAGGTACAAAGCAAGTGCATATTGTTGACACAACAAATGAAGGACCGTGTACACCCTGCGTTAATCAGTCTTATGTGTGTTCATGGAGTAGAGAAGGTGACAACCAAGGGTTAAGAGAAGATATGAATTATGTCAACAACTTTGGGGGTCAGAGACAAGGAGGACAGCAGTGGAGACCGGCACCAAATCAGCAATACAGACCAAACATGCCACAGCCTGGAGGTATGCAACCCCAAGGCCAAATGGTGCCGTACCAGAGACAACAGGGCTATCAAGAGCAGAACCAACAACAATTGACATATCAACCACCTCCTCAGCAACAAGATAACAACATGGTAGAGATCGGGGGTATGCTTCAACAACTCATTGGAACAAATGGTAAGATGCAGGAAAAGTTGGCAGTGCATGATTCAGCAATAAAAAACATTGAAACTCAGTTGGGGCATCTGTCTATGGCTTTAAACAACCGCCCCCAGGGAACATTGCCAGCAGACACAAACATTAACCCCAAGGAGCAAAACCCGAATCAGCTGATGGCAGTAAGTCTCCGGATTTAGACAAAGAGCAGGAAGTTGCACAAGCCCGCAAAGAGACTACGCCAGCCACTCCAGTTCCATTAGAGGTAGATGAACCAGCAGAACTTAGTGAAGTGGTGGTTGAACAGGTTCAAGATGATAAGGGTAAAGCTAAAGAGAGTGAACAAGCTGCAGAACAGGTGGTACCTCTTGTGCGACAGAACCCCAACGGACAGAAGCCAGCAAACAGTGCTCAAAGGGTGATACCTGCACCATTCCCTTAGAGACTGGTAAAACAAAAGAAGGAAGATCAATACAGGAAATTCATGGAGATGCTGCGTCAAATTCAGTTGAATATTCCTCTGATGGATGCCTTGAGGGAGATGCCGGGCTATGCAAAGATGATGAAGGACCTAATGTCACGAAAGTTTGATTTTCAGGACCTATCCATAGTAACTCTGACTCAGGCATGCAGTGCAGTAGTGACAAGACCTATGGCTCAAAAGATGTCTGACCCAGGTAGCTTTACTATTCCATGCACTATTGGGAGTTATGCCTTTGCAAAGGCATTATGTGACTTAGGAGCCAGCATAAACTTGATGCCGCTAGCCATATATACCAAACTGGGCATTGGCAGAGCTAGACCGACTTCGATGCTTTTGCAACTGGCTGACCGCACGGTAAAAAGGCCGACCGAAATTCTTGATGATGTGTTGGTACAAGTGGGGAAGTTTGTGTTCCCTGCAGACTATGTTATTCTGGATTGCCAGGTAGATGAGGAGATACCTATCATTTTAGGGAGGCCATTCTTAGCCACTGGGAGAGCACTGATCGATTGTGAAACTGGGAAATTAAAAATGAGATTGAACGATGAAGAAGTCATATTCAACGTTCAGCAATCCATGAGGAGACCCAGTGAATATGCTAATTGCTCCCTAGTGGAGGCAGTGGATGTGATCCTGCACGAAGATGATGTGACCCTGACTGCTAAAGATCCATTGGAGGCTTGCCTTACAAATTTAGAGGAGATGGATGGTGAAGGGTTGGCTGAGTGGGTCATGGCACTCGAAGGCCAAGGATTCTGAAAAAGGGAACCTCACTTCGAGTCCCTTGAGTTAGAAAAAAGGGCTACACCTCCGGCAAAACCATCAGTAGAGGAACCACCCAAACTGGAGCTGAAACCGCTCCCATCTCACCTCAGGTACGTGTTCTTAGGGCCTGATTCTACTTTGCCTATTATTATATTATCCGGTTTGCTAGATGTACAGGTAGAGCAGCTCCTACAGGTACTACAGGAATATAAGACTGCCGTTGGTTGGACCATGGCAGACATAAAGGGTATCAGCCCAGCCTTGTGTATGCACAAGATTCTCTTGGAAGAAGGGCACAAACCTTCCAGAGAACATCAACGAAGGTTGAACCCGAATATGAAAGAGGTGGTGAAGAAGGAAGTGATCAAATGGTTAGATGCGACTATCATCTTCCCCATCTCTGACAGCAATTGGGTCAGCCCTTTTCAATATGCCGAAAAAGGGGGAATGACGATCGTACAAAATGAGAATAACGAGTTGATCTCAACTCGTACAGTCACGGGATGGCGGATTTGCATAGATTACCGGAAATTGAACACAGCCACCCGGACGGACCACTTCCCCCAGCGATTCATTGACCAAATGTTGGACAGGCTGGCCGGGCAATCTCACTTTTGTTTCTTGGATGGATATTCGGGGTACAATCAGATCTCAATCGCCCCTGAAGACAGAGAGAAAACATCATTCACTTGTTCGTATGGCATCTTTGCCTTCCGGAGAATGCCTTTTAGGCTTCGCAATGCACCGACGACATTTCAAAGGTGCATGTTAGCCATTTTCACAGACATGGTGGAGGACATTATGGAGGTTTTTATGGATGATTTCTCCGTGGTGGGGGATTCATTCGAGGACTGTCTTCACAACTTAAGAAGAGTGCTCAGAAGATGTGTGGAGACAAATTTAGTGCTGAACTGGGAAAAGTGCCATTTTATGGTACAAGAAGGGATAGTCCTGGGGCAT